TGGCGGCGGCAGAACATTGAGATTCTGTTCTTCTTCTCAAAACTTGTGTTCTACTGCTCTCTCATCACTCTTTCTTCTACTTCTTCTTCACTTTCTCTTCTCATCGAACCTGAAGTTTCTAAKTGATCAAGACTGATAGCAGTCTTGAACACCTACATTTATAATGATAAAAATTATGTATGCATCTGTCATAAAAACATGTACTAGTTTACCCATAACAAGAGATGTACCTGGTTTATTACACTATTGCATCTATCATTTCCAAAAACTCCACAAAAAATATTCTTCAAGAATCCTTATAAACTCTTAAAGTCAACAAAATGTCAAATCCATTCACAAAACATCCCATTACAATTAAAGAAAACAAGAAATCACTTTACACAAAAGAATGCTATGATATAAGGATCCCGTTAACTAGAATTTATACATATAAAAACATGAATAGGAAAATAGAAAGAACAGATATCAAGTCTACATTAGCAAACCTCCCCGTTTATTAGGTGGGAAGTAGTTTGCAGGAGGAAGGAAAATGGAGGTCTGGGTTTAGGGAAGTTGAAAGGATAAACATGGCTCTTTTAGGTAAGTGTTTATGGAGATTTCCATTGGAGGTAGATAGGCTATGGCATAGGGTAATAGCCAGCATTCATGGTCTCTCTGAGAATGGGTGGGATGCTTGAACTTCTAGCAGAGATTCAAGTACATCACCATGGAAATCAATCCAAAAGCATCTTCCAAGATTCGTCACTCATATCAGGTATGATCTAAACTCAGGGAACAAAATCAGGTTTTGGGAAGACCTGTGGGTAGGGGAAGTGCCTTTGAGGGTCTCCTTTCCTTCTTTGTATGCTCTCTCTTCTTTCAAGGGTAAACCAGTGTCAGATTTTTTAATCCCTTCCCCTTCACTCTCTGGGTATGGTTGAAATTTGGGCCTTCACAGAAATGTTAGGGGTTCTCAATTGGATTTGGTGTCAAACCTTGTGCAATTTCTGGATGGGGTCTTTTTAGATGTGAGCAAACAAGATTGTAGAGTCTGGTCCTATCACCCTTCGGGTGTTTTCAGTTGTGCTTCCTTCTTTAAAGCTTTGGTATCTTCTGATTCTGCTGGCTCTTCATTCCTAGTTAAAGAAGTGTGGTGCCACCCTATTCCTCCTAAAGTGAGTGCATTCAGTTGGGAAGTTTGTCATAGTGCAATTAACACGTGTAATATGTTACAGAGAAAGAGACCTGGTTGGTGTCTCTCCCCGAATTGGTGTTATATGTGTGAGTCAAATGGTGAAACTGCCTATCACTTGCTGATTTCCTGTCCTCATGCTAATTGTGTTTGGGAGTGGTTTTTCTCTCTTTGATTGCAGGTGGAAAGCCCCTAAGAGTTTGGACAGATTGTTTGATTCATCTACATTCAGATGGCCAAGAAAGAGGGGCAGAATATTGTGGAGATGCACAAGTGTCGCGGCGGTAGTTAGAAGATAACATCACTTTTCCCAAAAATCTTACAGGCAAAAATGACGATGGTGTCCCTTAACGTAAGCCCGCCAAGCATAGGCAAGGCTAAGCCTATGTCAGACCGTGACACAAGGGCAGCTGTGCTTTGGTCTTTGTGGGAGGAAAGGAATATGAGGATATTTGAAGGAGGAAAAAGGAGTAGAGAAGCATTGATAGATGGAATTACAGCCAAAGTGGTTTTCTGGGTTAAATATTTGAAACTCTTCTCTGATTTTACATATGATGATCTGATAAGGAGATGGAGAATAATCGCAGCACTACCTTCTTCCGAGAAGAAAACTATAAGGGAATGGATTCTCCCAGAAAATGGGGTTATTAAAATGAACATTGATGGAAGCAGTCTTGGTAACCCAGGCCCTTCTGGTATAGAAGGGGTGTTCAGAAATGAAAGGAGGGAAGTGGTTGGAATGTATTCAGGTCCATGTGGGCAGGGGGATTCGATTATAGCTGAACTGACAGCAGCAGTGTTTGAATTACAAAAGGCAATGGAGATGGGGGTGAGAAAAATGATAGTTGAAGGAGACTCTAAAGTAGCTATCAGTTGGCTAAGACAAAAGAACAAGCTCCGTGGTTTTTTAGAAAAGATTTCAAGATGATCAAAAGGTTTACAGATGGTATGCAAGTGGATTTTCAATGTATTCCAAGGTCAGCTAACAACATGGTAGATCACTTAGAAAAACAGGGGGTGCACAGGGAAACTTGTTTCTGGGCTCAGATGTAATTACCAAAGTAAAGTTGGGTGGTTTTTAATGTGCTTTGTTCAGGGGTAACCGAGGCTACCCTTGCTGTAACTTTTATGTTTAGTCTTTAATAAAAATTTCTGTAATTCATAAAAAAAAGCATACATGTTGATCTTTCTTTGTATATGCCCAAATTCTTGGATGCATAAAACAATAAAGTGGAAAATAAATGAAAGAAAAAAGAGACCATCAGCATAATATTCATCAATACTTTGAGAAGTTTCTGGACAAATTTCAGATCACTAGACACAGATATATTCTCTTTTGCAGTCAGTATTTTTTTACTTAGATCATCATTTCCAATTTAAGATGGTATTACAGCATTTTGCTTCTTGCACCTACTCCCAGATGTTGTGAGAGTTGATGGCAGCATTTTAAAATTGAGAAGTGCAACTAAAGCGCAGGAGTTTCCTAGAGCTTGAGGCACAAGGTGAGGTGGCACCACTTTTACTTAAAAGAAAACTTAATATAAGAATATGCAAATATAAATTCTGAAATAAATAAATATTTCAAAAAGCCTATTTGGTGAATTGGTTAGAGTATTATATTATTAATCTGAAGGTTGTAGCTTATATATGTTTTAAATCCTACAAAGGCTAAACTATTAAACTCTAAACGTCATAGATACATCCTACAACATAGAAATTTTCATATTTAACATCAAATTCAAGGTTGATTCATCAAAAAGTAGCAACAAGCTAAGTGAGGCAAACTTAGATTCAAGTGACACACATCCCATATAATGAGCCTCACCTGTATGACTAAGTGCAACCAAGGTGCATCTCTTAAAACACTGTTGAACGAATAACGATTTGATTATGTTAAAGCTAATATATCTACTAATTGATTGGTACTTTGACACCCACATTGGATGGATGTATTATGTACTGTCAGACTAAACATATAATATCTCAAGTTATTATTTGGCATGTGTACTTGATCAAGTTGCAAGCTTTCAATTTGAATTTCATATGTAGCAGTGGCATTGCTTGAAAAAGAATTTATTTTGGATTTTATAATAGTAGTTTTGTTTTTATTGAAGTAATGTTATAAAGCTGAGGTAGTCAACTGTCAAAGTGCAGGAAAATGTCCAGTTTGGGGGCAGCGAATTACCGAGCGATAATTCTATTTTAAGTGTAGATGAAGCATGAAAAATAAAATCAGTAGATGACTCTATTGCCAACTAGAAATAGGAACGACTTTTGCTGGTCGTTCCTCATGAATGTATAATACAAAGCTATAAAAGAGATTCCTACATCACCTTCATCTTACAAGCTTAATCACACATTTTGCCCAACATGGAAACCACATAAACCGCTGTCTGTCCCAACCCAACTGCGACCAGTATCTTTAGAAACCCCTCGCTCCTTCATCATCTCCCTAACTTCACTCACACCATCCCATTTCCCAGCAGCTGCAAAAGTATTAGACAATGCGATATAAGCTCCAGGCCTCCCATCACTTCTCAACTTGAAAATCTCATTGGCTGCAATGCTCGCCATTTCTACATCACCATGAAGCCTGCTTGCACCAAGCAAAGCACCCCAGACATCAGAATTGGGCTTCTCAGGCATTCCCATTATGAACTCCCATGCCTGATGGAGACTCCCTGCACGCCCCAGGAGATCAACCATGCAAGCATAGTGCTCCATCCTTGGTTTGAGTGAGTAATCTCTCTCCATGCTCATGAAAACCTCCTGACCCCTAGCAACTAGCCCAGCATGTCCACAAGCTGAAAGAGCACTTAGGAATGTGACATAATTGGGTCTGATACAGTGTTCGTTTTGCATCTTGTTGAAGAGTTCAAGTGCTTCACTGGGATTTCCATTCTTCCCATATCCATCAATCATTGAAGTCCAAGAAAAGACATTCTTGTCTGGCATGTGATCGAAGATTCTCCTTGCATCCTCAGTCTTCCCACATTTTGAGTACATGTCTGTGAGTGCGCTTCCTAGTCTCACATCTGTGAAGAGTTTCATCTTTAAGAGTTGACTTTGGATTTGTTGACCGAGTTCAAATGCTGACAAGACAGAGCATGCCCCAATTACACTCACAAAAGTCGATATGTTTGGCTGGAAATTCAACCTTTGCATGTCTATGTAAAGTTGGATGGATTTCATAGCTGTTTTAAGGGATTTGCTGTAGCCTTCAATCATTGCATTAAAAACAACTATATCTTTGTTAATTATTCTGTTGAAGATGTCTTCAGCATCTGCCACAGACCCTTGATTCATGTACCCGGAGATCATTGCCGTGGAACAGTAAACATTCTTTTCAAACATAGTATCAAATACTTTCCTCGCATAATCAACCTTGCCATTCTTCACATAGGAGTCTACTAGAGCTGTGAATAGAACATCGTCTGATTCAATATTCGATTTCAGTATCTGGGCATGCACCTGTTTTTCTATTCCACCTGACAGTGAATAATTATTTCCAGTTGCCATTGCAGTCATTTTAGTCGTGGTAGATAGCTTTAAAATTGTCGAGAATGTAAACCCATCTGGTCTTTCATCAGAGAAAGAGAGTTTACGAATTAAATCCAATGAATCTTCTATTTGGTCTTGTTTTAGGTAGGCCGCAATTAAAGAATTATAGCAAGAGATGGTGGGCTTTCGCATTTGATCGAAAACCTGGCGTGCATAGGTTAAACAACCAGATCTTAGATGAAGAATAAGGAGCTTAATGGAGATATTGGTGTTAGGCGTGAATCCAATCTTGAGGATGTGGGCATGGATCTTTTGGCCTTCGAAAGGGAAATCAGACTGAATGTAGTGCTGCAGAGCAGAAGAAAGAGAGTTGGGGTCCGGTTTCGCCGGGTAAATTTGATTTGGTGGGATTGGACCGTTAAAGTTGTGCGTGAGCGAAAAGATGGGTGGCCTTACTGGCAGTCTCCCATTTTTCATCTTCTCATCTCCCTCGGTATCTCGGGGCAGAGTTTTTTTTTAATGTTGGTGGTGGTGTCTAAGAGATCACAACTCAGTGCAACTCGGTCCGAGACTTAGCTGGGAGCTTTTACTGCGCCAAAAGTTGGAGTTGCTTCCAGCTTCCCCTTGGAAAGGATTCTAGATCTCCTGCCCACGAGAACTCTTGCAACATCTCTTAGTGCATTAGGAAGAAATGTTCCCCTTGGAGTTCGAGTAAGAACTTTGAGTCTTAACTTTGAGTTCGAGCTTGACTCGAATAAAAAATTCATAAGTTTGAGGTCGATTTTGAGAAAAAATATTTCATAAAAATAAAAAATTATATATAAAAAAATTTTTATTTGATATTTAAAAATATAAGAATTATAATAATTATAATAATTATAATATATATATATATATCTAATAGGCTCAATCTCAGCTCGTTTTATAATCGAGCCAGTGAATTGGGCTCAAGCTCGAGTTCAGTTGAAATCGAGGTTAGTCGAACTTTTCTCGAGTTGCTTGTGAAAAACTCGACTCGTTGCCACACCCCTATCCAATCCACATCTCCTTGACATGCAACAGGCTCAACTGCTCTGATTGTTACACCAAAAGAAAACACGTTGACTTATTTTAGTTCTAAGGGATGAAGAAAAGATCCCTAACCCCGCTTAGGGTATGTTTTGGTACCATAGCCGTTTTCAGCTAAAACCTACCACATCAATGTCACGTAAGCGTTTTTATTGCAATGTAAATTTTTAAGGGGTTTTAATCGTTCAGTCCACCCCTAGAAATCTTAACTCCACCCTAAGGGTGGAATGAATGCTAATAGGGGATTGATGCTAAATCCATGAGCAGGATGCGGTTTATGAGAGGGCTACTAGTAGAATAGGAGGTGGATGTAATTTCAGATTTCTGTGGGGGAGTACAATCTACTTATCCCAATTTTTTTTTTATTTGGTTATGACTTTTTTAACTCAAAACAGTTAAAAAACGTTTTTATCTGAAAATAGCAAGAGGGGGCATTGAGGAAACGTCAAATTGAGGTTTTCCCCCAACAGCCATTGCATCTCACAATGTTTTAGCTGATATGGCACTTACCTGTCATCCGATGTGGCATGGTGATGATGAATTGATATGATGCGTCATGTATAACATACAACACTTCAACATGATTTGTGTTATATTGGAGAAAAATAAAATCTGATGAAATCCTGGATTTAGAAAATTCTTAGCCATTAGATTGGCATAACAGTAATTGGAAATGTAATTGGTGTTACATAGAATTAAAAAATTTACTTTAAACACTTCAACCTAAAACAAGACATACCAAACATGTATCTATTATAAACCTCTAATCAGCATTGCTGTTGAGACTATAAACATTAAGTGTTAACCAAACGGGTTTCTCCTCTAATCATTGGAACATACACCACCCACACCACTCAAAACGTTTCAGCCTGAAATGGCAATGATACCAAACACAACCTTAGACACTCCCTATAGTTTCACATGCTTAGTAAGATACCCTCTTATGGTTTGCACCCATTCTTGTTTACTTTAGGCTGCGTTTGGAAACAATGCAAATGGAGTGTAAATACCAGCTCAGGGTAAATTTGCACTCTAGTTCACTTCGAGGTTCAAAGTATCGATATGATACGAGTTTCGGTTGTATCGTATCGATACTTTGAGCCATGGTTCACTTTGGACTGTGTTTGCTAACATTACATTTTTGCATTGACAAATGACAAACCAATGCATATTTACATTGATAATAAGATGTAAAAGTACATCAATAAAAAATAAGTAAATTTGCTTTCAAGTAGGCTTTTGATAAAAATATATATATATGCTTTATTGGAATTTGTATATGCATCCATTATAGCTAAAAATCTGTTTGGTAAGAAGGTAAATTTATCAATACAAAACTAACCCAACTTTGCAATTTATATGAACAGTTTTACACTCTACATATTTTCATTCACACATATTTGCATCATTTCCAAACGCAGCCTTAGTGAGCGTTTGTATTTCCATATAGAATGGTCACCTTTGCTCTCAATCATAGGGGTGTCAATAGCATTAGAAAATGCCATTTGGAATTAGAGATTTGATATAATCAAAACGAATTTGGATATGACCTAATTTGATTGGATAAATATTGGAAACTGATTGATTATTTATTTTTTATATATATTTAAATATTTTATATAATTTCTATATATAATAAATTAATAATTAAATTATATAAATAATTTATATACTTATATATTTTATATAAATAAAATATTTATTTTATATATTTATAAATTACCAAAAATAATTAATTGGTCAAATTTAAATCAAATTGAATATTCAAATTCTTTTTTTATAAAATGAAAATAAGCAATCGTCTGTAATTTTCAATATCAGTTGGATATCGAATTTTATAATCAGATTCAATTTCAAATATTGTTTGATTCGGTTCGTATTCGATCGACTTACACCCCTACATAAACAGTTAAAACTGGACGATAAAACGTATAAGGAAGGCAATGCCTCAACCATTTCTATTTCCAAAATCAATACATCATTTTTATAACTCTGTTGTTTCACCCACCACTTGGCCTCCCAAGGGATTTGCCTAAACTTATCGATTTGAAAGATAATCTCTTGAGACCTTAGGCTCTTAGTTTCTTATTTTGGAAACAAACTGGTTGCACTTGTTCTATAGTTGTTTCTTTATTTGTTTTTGTCTTTTTAAATTTGGTTCAGAGGGATCGGTTTAACGTCCGTCCACCCTCTGAACCGGCTTAAACCCTGAAACACCCCTTTTAGGGGCATATTGGGAAGCTCACGATATGATATGTATCGGCCGATACAGTCCCATACGTATCGATACTTTAAATTTTGGAATAGCTAACTCTGCCATTTGTTGTGAAATAAACTCCTAATATATGAAGTACTTTAGAAAGTTAGGAAAAACAGAAACAGAGATCTATCTACTTTAGGCCCGTTTGATTAACAGGAATAGGGGTCTGGAATCGGAATAGGTCTATCTACTTTAGGCCCTGTTTGGTTCATAGGAATAGGGGTCTGGAATCGGAATTGGAATGGCCATTCCCTGCCCCTCCCTTGAGAATGAAATCTCATTCCTGACGACTCTAATTCTCATTCTCATTCCTGTCTGAACCAAACAGACTACAGGAATAGGTCATTCCAATTCCAAATGATTTCCATCCCGATTCCATTTTCAATTCTGACTGCGAACCAAACGGACACCAAGTCTTGGCTTGCAAGGTACACAATCCACTGAAACTGAGGGCAATCCAGGATACAAAAACCAGACTCTACTTCACTTAACTCATGGGCTATAGTTAAGGGTGTCAATGGACCGGTTTTGGATTGGACTCCTTCCAATCCAAAATAAATTTGGACGGATTAGACGGATCAACAAGACATGTTGGATTGGACCAATCTGGTCCAAATTATTTATTAGATTGGATTGGACCTGATTCATCCATAACAAATTTATATTGGATTGGGTTGGATTAAGCCAATATCTGGCCCATTGATATAAGATAAGAATATATGTGTGAATGGACCGGGTTTGACTTAAAATCAATCTAAATCAAAATGAATTTGAACAGATTGGACGGTCCACACATTGCATTGAGCCTGTCCAAATTGATCCAAAACATTCATTGGATTGAAACTGGTCCATTTATAATGAAATTATAATATCACGAGTCGTGACACAAAATCACAGAACTGTTGCCATATGCTTCAAATCGCCTGGACAAGATTCTAGCAGCAATCACTTTATATGATGGGTTGGTTCACCTGAAGAGTTCACATTTAACTCTAAACTCTTTTAGAATGGTTATAGCCTCAGCTTGAACTGGAGAAGAGACTGGCATGCCCAAAATTAAAAACGGAGTTATAGCTCCATAACCTGTCTTACCAACATCTAAAAAACTGTCATCAATATTGTAGCAGAAGTTCGATTTTGGTTGCTTGGGAAGTCAAGTTCCTCTCCTCTACCATCTACCATCCTGGAGTTGAGTTGACAACAAAACTTGAATTCAGATTAGTATTTTCAAAAACAAACTTGTTCCTACTTCCTCTGTCCCATTGACAATTTGGTTGCATTTATCAAACCAAAAACTCAGCCATTGACCAAAGCTGTTAAAATTTACCGACATAGTGAATATAGTTTAATTGGCTTCCAAACTAAGAAGCCTTTTGCATGGTTGCACAAAACAATCCATAAATCACAGACTCAGGTTCTTGATGACATATATTGGACATTTAGAGGAGTTGCAAATTCCTTTTTGCTAATGGCCTACTGCAATCCAACAGTATTTCCATAACAAGTTTTTAATCTTGGGGTCTACTTTAATTTAATTGACCAGAGCTGTTTCCAATGTTTTCCTCCAAACCCACAGTTGGAATCGTGCTTAAACCATCGTCACTGATTGTGATTGCACTACCACTAGAAAGAGTTTTAGCAACACATTAAGCAGATTCACATAAAAAATGCCATTTTCAGTTAGATTCCATAAGAATTTGTCAGTCAAGGGTCATCATTCATCAATCAGTCAGTTTTTGGACTATCTGTTTCAGCCTTTAGATAGCTTATTCGAGGTGCCTCAAAATAGCTAATATGTGTAGTTTAGCCTTCCCAAACAAGCATGGTAAAATGGTTGTTTTGGGCTTCCCAAGTCCTGACATTTTCACTCGACATTGCTTATATAGGCTATACAATGAAACCCACCTTGTAAATTTAGAAGCCTGGTTATAGTGGATTACGTGGATTGAAAGATCGATTAAGTTGGACTCCTAAATAGATAAGGGTGCAACTTGGATTGAGCAAAGATTAACTGAGCGCAATGACTGTTCCACGGGTTGTAATTCAAAATTTTGCATTGGGCTTTGATGTATTTAACCTTAATAATATTTTACGTCAGTAATAAAATACATGGGATCCTCGCCTTTTACAATGGAACTCATTAATTTAAGGGATTATAGTACTTAAGGGCAACTTTTGGGCCCTAACATCAATAACATCAATAGAAGTAATATTTTTAATAAAATTTAAAAATGAGTTAACTTTTAAAAGTAATATCAAATAAGAGCAAAAATATTGTTCATCTTCTTCTTCTTGCAAATCATTCATTAGCACTGCCACCTCCAACAATCTTTGGCAATGCCTCCACTTACCTCTATTGCTTCTACTCACCTCCAGCAATGCC